CATTCAAAGCCCGTGAAATAACTGAACACACTTGAGCATAGCAACAAGAAAAAGCCAACCATTTGTTATTGACGTCAGACAGTTGAGGAGTCGCATGGAAACTGTGGAAAATTCTGACAGAATGTTTGGAGTAAGTAAAGGAAAATATGTGGTCTACCATAGTTCCCCTGTGACATGAGAAGACATAATTCAATCTCGTAGTGATGTGGCCGATACTTTGAGAATGGGACCCACTCTCAAAATAGTGTCATTTTCTGGCGGACCTTTATCAAATTCCAACCCATTGATTGAACAAGAATGATCCTGATGACAACGATTTTTTTTTTTTCTAGGCTTTTCTTGTTACGGGAAGCATATCCTTTTATTTTTGTCAAAATGAATCACTTTTGTACTTCGAGATAAAAGTAACCATAAAGTGGTAACCAATTAGGCCGTCAATAACCATGGTTCGGGCCGCCATTCAGACAAGCTTGTGAAGTGACTGGACCCCATTTTTTTTTTGGGATGGCCTTTTTTCGGGCCGGCATTCAGAGTAACAAGTAATCCAACAACAACCTTTTCACTTACAAAAGGACATTTTAAATTAATGTGCTTAGTTTACGCATGAAAAATGTGATTAACTACTATGTAGAGAGCACTGATATTCTCATAGATGTCGGTTAAGAAAGAGGCACCCCAATATCTTAAAGAATAAAAAAAAGCCAAGTCAATTATGTAGTTGATGCCATGGAGCAAAAGTTAATTTCAGCACTTGAACCAGCCGCATTTGTTTGTTTCTTGTCACTCTATATTATATAGTTGGAATTAAGATAGGTGCACAAACCATTGGTTGAAACCTAGTGTATTGGGAGAATTGATTCTATCTACATCATACAAGGCATATAACTCAAAGGAACTAGTAGATATGTTTAACATACCAAACGAATGTGTACCATTTAGATAACAAAGAATCCACTTAATTGTATGGAAATTGCCAATTGTAGAAGCATGTATAATCTGACACACTATATTTATGCTATATCAAAGGTTAGTCTGTGTTATGGTAACATATTAGATTGCTACCAACAATGCTTCCACCAAGAGATGGATCAGAAAATGAAGACCAATTTCTATTAAATATATTTGTCATTGCCATTGGTGTTAAATAGGCTTCTACCCACGCATATGAGCATGATCAAGAAGATCCCAAAAATATTTGGTTTGCGATAGAAAAATGTCACTTTGAAAATAAGATACTCCTTGTCAAGGAAGTAGTGAAGGAGTCCTAAATACTTCATTGCAAATTTCATTATGAGTTAGAAAATAAAGTATTCCACAAGATATGAATTATCACCTAATAATATCATCGACACAGAAAAGTAGAACATTATCGTGAGGAGACAGAAAATACATATGAACGAACTATAATGTAATGAAAACCCAAGGATAACAAATAAGTACTAAACCGATCAAATCAAGCCCGAGGTGCTTGCTTGAGGCCATATAAATGCCTTTTCACTTGCAAACATGATTTGGATATACCAAACTAACAAAAGCAAGAGGCAGCTCCATAAATATAGGATCTTTAAGAATGCCATATAGAAATGCATTTTTCACATTGAGTTGTTTGATAAGGCCAATGATACAAAATAATTATAGCAAACATAATTCAAATATTGGCAGGCTTGATAACATCACTGAGTGTTTCAGACAAATCAACTCCAACAACTTGATTAAACCCTTTAGCAACAAGTTTGGCCTTTAGTCTGGATACTACCATCAGATTTTAGCTGAGTCTTACAGACCAACAACAATCAACAACGTTCATTACAAAAAGACATTGAACTAGTCCCAAGTGAAATTAACATGCAGGGCTTTAATTTTCTCTTCCATTGCACAATTCTAACCTGGGTGGCCCAAGGTTGACTTGAGGGACTTAGGGTCAACAAGTATAGATCCAAATATAAGACCATCTGGGAGTGATGTCTGATGGTATAATTCAATATTTTAGAGTACCATCGTGAGTTCTTGTAACCATATGATGGCATGGATGCCCAAGAATAGGAGAAGAGGCAGATGTAGAATAATCATATCTGTTAGTTTCTTGGGTGATAGCATTCTCATCACCATGAGCATGCATGGCATCATCTTGAGTCTCTTGTATTGGTGGTATTGTGGTGACATCATCTTAGATAAGAGAACCTAGAGAGTTTCTTTTTTACCAACATTCGTACTCTTTATTAATAAACTAAAAAGAGATTACATCGTTAGATACAGTAAAAGAAGAGAGGTGAACATCACCCTTGGCCATCGCATCAGCAATGTCATTTGCTTCTCGATAAACATGGGAAAAGGAAATACGTAAGTGGGCAACCGCATCCATTATCTGCAACCATAAAAATCGCAATTCCCACGGAACCTTCTGCTTCTTGCACCAACTAATAGCATTTAAAGAATCCCCTTCAATCAAGCAGTTTGTAACCAGGTTTCTCCCTATGAAAATTTCCACACCCCTTAACAAAGCAGTTAGTTCAGCACAATTGGTCGTGGCAACACCAATTGGGCCAGCATATGTAAACATAACACTTCCAAAACAATCTCTTACAACATCACCAATACCTACTGAGCTAGGATTTCCCATGGAACTACCATCAAAGTTTAACTTAAAACAGCCCATAAGCGGAGCACACCACAAGCCCTTAGGCCTACGAGAATTCAAACCCAGAAAGAAAAGGTTAGGCAAGTTTATCATAACATCAACCTTAGTAATACCCCACCCATCCTTGGACACAAAAAGATAAGACCATATAGAGATCTTGATTAAATGTAGCAGCTTATCAACAGGCAAAGCCATACTCTCAAAAGTCCTTCTATTTCTCTCCTTCCATACTTCTCAAAATATCACTCTTTTTACTATCTTCCAAATTGTACTTCCAATCTTGGGAAGAAACGGTACCCCAAATTACGAGACCATCCCAACTACCCTCTGAGGCAACACTAACAAAACTCCTACTTCCCCAATTAACCAATGCCAAATCCTCAAATGAATCAGCAGATGGTCATCTGATTCACCATCTAGTTTGCATAGCAAACAAACATAGCGGTAAATCTTACCGCTTTTTTGTAGATTATCAATGGCTAAAATTTTATCCTGTGAAGCTAACCAAATGAAGACTTGCATTTTATGGGGAATTAGCTGCTTCCAAATTTGCACAATATTGAAGAAAGATCATCTCCATCGGTCATGGAAGAAATGATTATAATAGGATTTAACAGAGCACATACCGTCGCTTTCAATTTCCCTTACCAAAATATCTTCTGCCTCTTAAGAAACATAAACTTTATCCAGAAGTTCCATCAATGAGCACAATTGGGACTTCAACACATTGTTCAATCGCCTATACATAGGGGTACGTCCCACGAAAACTATTGACCTCTCCTCTCAATTGCCTCACATATTTTTAGATTTGGGTTGGAAACAACTCGAAATAGATAATGGAAAACAGATTTCAGAGGATAATCCCCAAGCCATTTATGGTGCCAAAACACAATCTGACTACCACAACCCACATTCCATCTAAAATAGCCCAAGATCATCGTCGTACAATTTGAAATGACGCGGCACATATAAGACACCTCCTTCCCTCTACCACATCCAAGCCACATGTTATACCTATCCATCCCATACTTTGACCATAGAACTTGATACTAGAGATGATCCTTCAATTGGAAGGTACACCACCACTATTTGCATAACAATGCCTGGTTAAACTTCCTAACATTTTGGATTCCCAAACCACCTTCATGCTTAGGTGTACATACTCGATCCTACCCTAATCATCTTCTAAATTATTTTTCTAACCGAGGCTGGAATGTGGATGATAGACATCTGATACATGGGAAGGTTCGCCAGGCAAGATCTTAACAACGTCACCCTTCCCCTTAGAGACAAGTATTTATATTTCTAAAGATCAAGCTTGACTTGCATCCTCTCAAGCACCCTATCCCAAACTGCAATAGAAAACTTAGAATCGAAAATTGGTAACCGCAGATAGGAAATAGAGAAATAATCCACTTTACAACCTATCACATTAGTCAAATCACAGACCATTGCCTCGCTACAATTAATACCCACCATAGAAGACTTATGAAAATTAACTTTGAGTCCCAATGTCACTTCGCAAATTTTCAAAAATCTCACCACATTCCTCACTTGTATTG